TTGCTTTGTTCCAAGATTTTCCAATTTTGTCCCCCAATTTGCTGGTGCTACATTCAAGTTTGATAAATGATGCTTTTGAGCACTTGTTCACTTTAGGACCTGAAATGTCATCATTTAAACTCAATCAAAGTATAATTAGTCTTAAAAAGGCATATTAATATGCTAATTTTAACTACAAATCATTACGCTGTCAAAAATTTCAGTGGTAAGAGTCTCTGTGGTGGCCACTAGTTGGGTGTGAGGCATCGTCAACATCAGTCACCTCTGTGGCAATTATGGTGGTGTGGCTGCTGGTCGTCGACATTGGTGGCTTTTGTGGTGGTGTGGCTGCTGGTTGTTTCTTATGCGCCATTGACATCGAAGTAAATAGGGTTTGGTTGAAAACCTAATCAGTGAAGAAAATGACCCTAATCGAACTAGGCTGATTGCGGATAGGGCTGTGCAAAATACCAAATAACCAGACAACCAATCCGAAACTGACCCTTTCGAACAAAAAATAGGCGGGGTAATATTTATTACGGGTCGCTTTCAGAAGAAAATATTGATTAACTGATAAATTCAGTTCGGCTTCGGATACCTGCAATTCCAAACCCGAAATAACTGACCCACCCGAATAGTATTTAATAATAATATAACATATATATATATATATATATATATATATATATATATATATATATATATATATATATATATATATATATATATTTTTTTTTTTTTTAAATAGAATTTCAATATATTGGAGACTTAATTTGATGATTTAATGCAGTGTGACCTTTAGATTAAAAATTGGCTCTAGTATTTAATGAATTCCACTATTAATTCAATAGTCAAAGTCCTAAAATTTTGTACTACTTATAATATTCTTTAACTTTTAAATACGTTTCACACATGCGACATGTCTGAATTTGTATTTGATATATTGAGATCATTTTGTAATTTTACTTAGTTTTGTTGGGTTATTTTACTATCGTATAGAATTGATAGTCGTTAAGTAAAAAATATTGGCTCGGAAATGGAAGATTGATACCATGTGTTTTTTTATATGGAAATAGTTTTTTTTTTTTATGGCATTGACTTGCAGCGCTATAATAAACTAGTAGACAATAATTAATTGCAAATGAAAATAATTAGTCCGGGTGAACTATAAATGAGTCATTCGAAGATAAAAACTCATCAGGGTCAATTGTAAAGGACAATAATTAAACATATTTTGAATAAAAAGTTATAATTATTTTTATTTTTTTTGTCTGTTTGTTGTCGTTGTATTTACGTTTTCAAACTTTTATGTTTAATGAACTTTTAAGTATCAATTGTTTTTTTCTCAAAGGTTATTGATAATAATGGATTTAAGTCCGAGTTCCTCTAGAGCCCAACGCTCTCTGGGCTACAAAAGGTGGCCAAAGTAGCTCATCCAGACAACATTTATTGGGCTCGAACTGAACTGCAATCCAGTTTCAGAGAAGCTCGATGCTGACAAGCTTAGTATAGGTACGAGCTCAAGAGATGGGAGTACGCCACCGAGCCAATTTGCAAAAGCTGTAGTATGACACGTGGCTAGGGGGATAAGAGAACACTATCTGATAGTTCTGATGAACAAAAACCCACACATAGTAGAGAAGAATCACGTACTGCAGTCGACAAATAGTGAATGCCGAAAGGCGTCAAGGACCACAGCTCTAGGACAAAGACAAACACAGAGTAAACAATAAAATCAGCCAAAAGGGACCAACATGAAATCCTAACTACTAGTTGTTTAAATAGCTAACTGTGCTTACAAAGAGAACCATTTGAAAACTACCAAGTAAAATCTAGGCAATATTGCTTTAAGTAAAACACCTTGTAACAACAATCTTCTTTCCCAAGCAATTTAATTTCTAAGGAACAAGGGCCTCCTCCTTTATAATGGACGTAACTTTAGTCTTTCGGCTAAGGTAAACCACTTTCATCGTTATCGTCTTCTTGCATTATACACATAGCATACACGCACACTCACACTCTCGTACACACACATGCTGGGCCACATCTCAAGTTGTTCTGCAGTCCAATCCGGTTGATTTCGAGCACTATGAGGTATCAAATATGATTTTAGTAAATGAGTTATCAACTTTTTTGATTAATTGAAAAAAAAAATAGAACTTATTAATGTGCCCTGAACGTGGAAGACAAATTTATTGCAAGTAGATATTCCTGTTACAAGAAAGAAATAGAGGCACATTTAATGGAAATTCAGTGTAATTTATCTCACAAGTTTTATTTAAAACAGTCATGCTGGAGCTTGAACCTCTTATGAAATTTATCCACGATCAATTAATCAAAGCTTGTGCTCAGGATGCTTATGACCAGAAATGGAAGATGACTCTCCCTCCTCAAGAGCCTTAGGAGTGATTTCTGCAGATTTTGCATGCGTACCTGCACCAACCTTCTCATTCTTCCTAATCTCTTCTTCAACATGAACATCATCCTCCATTGATAGCACCACAGCTTCTGCTCCATGCGGACCTTGTACAGCAGCCTCCTTGATCCTCATATGTTCGTCGACACGTACAATATCGGTTTCTTGAATAGTCTTCTTCTTCTTCCAGATCTTCTTGCCAAAGCAACAGAGAGCAATCAAAAGGAATGCAAGGAAGAAAAGACCACCGAATGCCACGATCACGATGATTATGATAGCTGAATGGTGGCCTGGTGGGGATGGAGGCGGTGGTGGAAGGAGGTGAGGAGGAGGTGGTGGTGGAAGAGGATGAGATGGGGGTGTTGGAGGGGGCAAATATTGGAAGGTGACGTCAGGAGAAGACATTTTGAATAATGTTGTGGACTTGTGAAGATTTGTGGCTGAGTTGATGGGAGGAAGGCTTTTTTAGGTGCTTTTGTAGTGGGGATTTTGATTACAATGCTTTAAAGTTTTCACAGACTTTCTTATTAAGGATTAGAGTCCTCTTCTTTTGATTGCATTGGAAAACACTTCTCCAAAATTTCCCTTGTTTGTCTTGAGAAGCTTGTTTTTTTTTTTATACCGTAAGTTAGGGAGAGTTGATGGGGATTAATGATGTGGTACTATTAGGGTATGTGTGTGCTTCATTGGCCTCTTAATACCATTTGATTGACAATGTTAAACTGTTTGTTTTACTCAATAGCTTGATAATTATCTAGTGCGTGTGAAATTGGGATTCAATCGAGTGCTTTAGAGGTCCAAGTAGTAGAAAATGGTACTGTTACAACACAGGTATTGGCAAGGACGGACCTATGAATAGGCCTACATGGTGGAAGTAATCACATGGACGAGTGCTGCCCTTATTGAAGAAGACACTTGTTTTGATGATTCTAATGACGGTAGACAAAAAAAACAAATAGAATTTTCAAAATCAAGTTGCAAATATGGATTATATCAAAAGTAACATGATTTATTTTTACTATAGTAACAAGCAAAATAATAATTTATGAGAATAATTTATTTATAACCATAAAATTATATTATACGTAAGAAAAAAGAGGATATTGGCATTGTCACACTAATTTTTAAGAAAATACTATTTAAACTTAATTTACTGACTCTAACAATAGAGTCACTATTAATCTAATGACATAATAATCTGGTCAACAAATTACATCTAATTACTCTTATTTTTTATTATGGTACAAACCTATTTTTATAATGACATTGTATAAAATTAATTTTAATTAGTTTTTTTATAAATTGATATTTGTCATTAACTATAATCATTGAATAATACCTTTGGACAATTTTTTTGACTATACCATCATTTTGGGCTCTTCGAGATAAAATTCTAATTTCGATATCGGATAGGAAGTCAACTTAGATGCTCAAACAAATATCTTTTTTTGTACAACCATTTTTATGACTAGTCTCATCATTGCTAAGCATTTCATTTGTAAATGCATTCGCAAATGTCTCTCTAACCATAGCTGCAACTTCGCCGCTATTTGCACAAACATTGGCACTAAATACCCAAGACATAGATGACTTCCAATTGTTTAGATGACCTCCAATTGTTTAGATGACCATGACTAAGTGGCTACATTGTACATTTATGTTGCATTTGAAGCACACATCCACCATTAAATATAGAATAATGGCTGATCAAATAGTCATCATTCACAATAATGTGAGCCATCAATCACAAAAATAGCCAAGGAACGATGGACATAGTTGGCTTATATCATATAGAATCATCATCATCCACAATAATGTAAGCCATCATGCACAAAAATGCATAAGTAACAATGAGCATAGTTCTTCTCTTATCACAGCATCTAAGAGGTGATAATATCATAGCCTCAACCCCNAATATATATATATATATATATATATATATATATATATATATATAACAGGGGATCTTAATCTCACATACTGTGCTAGCACACTACAACACATAAGATTTGGTGTTTTAATTTTGTTTTTTGTTTTTCGCCCCCAGGGGGATTAGGAAAAAAATTTATTGTGTTTAACGCACCACCTAATAATAAAAAATTGTGACAACACACTAACTTGTGACCATCCTTAATTTTTTTTAAAAAAAAATATTTTGACAAATTAATAGGTAATAAACATTTAATTGAGAATTTTCTATTGATTCCTCGTTCTTACTAATATCGATGTGGGCAGTGACGGAGCTACCATTGAACTTGTGACCATCCTTAAATTTTTTTCTTAATATCACATATATATATATATATATATATATATATATATGTGTGTGTGTGTGTGTGTGTGTATATATATATATATTTATTTATTTATTTTATTTTGGTGCATTGACTACTTAGGAGTAATTATATCAATGTTATCAAAACTGGATTGATCATCAAAAGCAAGGACACCGGATCAATGGTTCATCAGTTCAACTGTCGAGTCAATTTGTCAGACCGGTCATATAATAAAATATATATATATATATATATATATA